GCCCTTTCACAGAGGCTGAGTCTTACTTTGCAGATGCAAAGTTCTACATTAAAAGGCAAGTTATTGTTGAAGATATTGAGGGAAACAATGACGATCCACCTTCCCGATCGAAGTCAAAGGGAAAACAAGTTGTAGAGGGGGATCAACACAACACGAAACTCATCTTCCCGCTTGCAAGGATTGATACACTCAAAACAAATGCAGCAAAATCATCCGAAGAGAAATGTGGTGATAAAGTGGGCCAAATACTCCCCGCCAAACGTACCGAGGGTTTCGACCCAAACGCTTATAAGCTTTTAGCCAAGGTGGCTATAACCCCAACGAGCCACAGAAGTTGGGAAAGCTTATCCCAGAAGCCGGTGGTAAAGGCAAGGCAAGCCACCAAGAACCTCAAACTCGCAAAGGGTTGGGCTATGTTCCCCTAAACCAGTGCGAATTCTTATAAACAGGGCTGCAAGTAATTGTATCTCCGCGGAGGGAAGCGAGTATGACCCAAACCTCACTCCTACCAATGATAATGGGCAAGACAAAAAGAAGTCAGTCTTCGACCGAATCGGTAAGGCGGACTCTCGACGCTCAGTCTTTGATAGACTGGGGTCAAGTCCTAAAGCCCTAAAGAGAAAGTCAATGCATGATCGACTTGGAGCTGTCCAAGTTATTAAAGACAGTGCCAATGTTCCTGCTGAAGTGGAACCTCCAAAAAGGCTCAGAAGCATGATTCCTTCTCGTATGAGACGAGAAACATATATTCATGTTACATGCAGTGAAGTATTGAAAGTCCAACCGAAGACCATTGTACACACTCGAGTACATAAAGAGGAAAATGAGGAAAGCGTAGGCTCAAGTGATGACGTACCACCAACCACTCAGGGAGAGGTGGCATCGTCGTTCCATATCACTTTATGTGATGAGACCCCGATTGAGGGGGAAGATGCAGAAGATGCACCCCATGAGTTAGAAAGAAGGGGTACGAGCCGCGGTGGACGAATTAAAAGAAGTTGATCTGGGAACGCCTGAAAATCCTCGTCTTATCTTCATTAGCGCACTCCTTTCTGATGAAGATGAAGAAATCTATGTCACATTGCTGAAAGAATATATTGATGTCTTTGCATGGACATACAAGGAGATGCCAGGGTTAGACCCAAAGGTAGCTGTGCACCGCTTAGCAGTGAAGAAGGGGTGTCGCCCGGTTAAGCAAGCTCAACGACGCTTCCGCCCCGAGCTCATTCCCTCGATTGAAACAGAAGTTAATAAGCTTATTGAGGCTGGCTTCATTCGTGAAGTTAAATATCCAACCTGGATATCCAGTATTGTGCCTGTGCGCAAGAAGAACGGCCAGATCCGCGTCTGCGTAGATTTTCGGGACCTCAATGTGGCATGCCCGAAAGATGACTTCCCGCTTCCTATCACGGAGTTAATGATAGATGCCGTGACTGGGCATGAGATCCTGTCATTCATGGATGGCTCCTCCGGTTACAATCAAATCCGCATGGCGCCGGAAGATGAAGACTTAACTGCATTCCGAACGCCAAAAGGCATCTACTGCTATAAAGTAATGCCCTTTGGTTTGAAAAATGCAGGTGCTACATACCAAAGGGCTATGCAGACAATATTCGATGATATGCTCCATAAAATGGTCGAATGCTACGTAGACGACTTGGTTGTGAAGTCGAAATTTCGCACAAATCACTTGGTGCATTTAAGGCAAGTCTTCGACCGCCTACGAAAGTTTCAACTGAAAATGAACCCCCTGAAATGTGCTTTCGGGGTTGCTGCTGGAAAGTTCCTCGGGTTTACTGTTCGACACAGGGGCATCGAGATTGAACAAGCAAAGATTGACGCCATAATGAAGATGCCTGAGCCGAGAAACCTTCATGAGCTTAAAAGCTTACAAGGGAAGTTGGCTTACATCCGAAGGTTCATATCAAACCTAGCGGGAAGATGTCAACCTTTTAGTCGGTTGATGAAAAAGGGCATCTCATTCATATGGGATGAGGCATGCAAGAACGCATTTGAGAATATCAAGTCATACTTGATGAAGCCGCCTGTGCTAACTGCTCCTGTTCATGGCCGCCCGCTGATCCTTTATATTTCCACCCAAGACAGTTCTGTGGGAGCCTTGCTTGCTCAGGAAAATGACAAGGGGAAGGAGAATGCTCTCTATTATCTCAGCAGAATGATGACCCCGAACGAGTTAAGGTACTCCCCAATTGAAAAGCTATGTTTGGCACTTGTGTTCTCTATCAAAAAACTCAAGCACTACTTTGAGGCTCATACAATCCGGCTTGTTTCCAAAGCGAACCCGGTGAAATATGTTATGGCGAAGGTCGTTCTCTCCGACGCCTCGCAAGGTCGTACTTATTGTTTCAACAGTTTGAAATTGTATATGTGCCGCAAAAGTCTGTCAAGGGGCAAGCCTTGGCCGATTTCCTGGCAGACCACCCAATACCTGCTGAACGGGAGTTGTCTGACGATTTGCCTGATGAAGATGTGCTTGTCATTGAAGTCCTACCCCCATGGAAAATGTACTTTGACGGAGCTTCGCATAGAGAAGGGGCAGGTGCTGGAGTTGTCTTCGTCACTCCAGAAGGCGAGGTGTTGCCATATTCATTCACCTTGACCGAGCAATGTTCAAACAACATTGCTGAGTATCAAGCATTGATACTTGGGCTCGAGATAGCGGCTGACATGAAGCAACTGAGAATTAACATTTATGGAGATTCAAAGTTGATCATAAACCAAGTGTTAGGTCTATATGAAGTGAAAAAGGCGGAGTTAGTCCCATATAACAACTATGCAAAGATACTCATGCAATGGTTAGGGGATGTACAATTGAACATGTACCGAGGAAAGAACACAAGCAAGCTAACGCCTTAGCCGCATTGGCTTCAACTATTGCTCATCCTGCAGCCCGAATACAAGTATGTCAAAGGTGGGTGGTTCCACCAATCTTTAATGAAGACGGCTCAGTTGATGAAACTGTTGAACTCCCTACTGCCTCAATTTTATGATATAGGCAATGACGACTGGAGGCAACCGTTAATTGACTACCTCACTGATCAAAAGTTACCTGAAGATCCCCGTAAAAGGGTGGATATAAAGCGCCGAACTCCTCGCTTCATCTACTATAAAGAAACATTGTATCGTCGTTCCTTTGATGGAATATTTCTCCGATGTCTAGGGGAAGAGGAAGCTTTACAAGCTATGCAAGAAGCTCATTCTGGGGTTTGCGGTGCACATCAATCCGGTCCCAAGTTGCATTTCCACATTAAGAGAATGGGATATTATTGGCCTACAATGGTAAAGGATTGCATAGACTATGCTCGAAGGTGCCAAGCTTGTCAATATCATGCAAACTTTATTCATCAGCCACCAGAACCTCTACACCCAACAGTTGCATCTTGGCCATTTGATGCTTGGGGACTTGATGTGGTTGGCCCAATTACGCCTAAGTCATCTGCATGGCATGCCTACATATTAGCTGCCACCGATTACTTCTCAAAGTGGGCGGAACCCGTGGCATTGAAGGAGGTGAAGAAAGAAAATGTTGCAGACTTTCTCTGTGTCCACATCGTCTATCGATTTGGTATCCCGCGATATATCTTAACAGATAACGGGAAGCCCTTTGACAACAAGTTGATGGACAAGATCTGCAAGCTTTTTGACTTTAAGCAGCGAAACTCATCAGCTTACTATGCAGCTGCAAATGGGCTTGCTGAAGCTTTTAACAAGACCCTATGCAATTTGTTGAAGAAAATGGTCTCAAAATCGAAAAGAGACTGGCATGACAGAATGGAAGAAGCTTTGTGGGCGTATAGAACCACATACCGCACACCTACTCAAAGCACTCCATACTCTTTGGTGTATGGTGTAGAAGCGGTCTTGCCTCTAGAGCGCCAAATACCTTCCTTGAGGTTGGCCATACAGGAGGGTCTTACCGATGAAGAAAATGCTAAACTACGCTTGGCCGAGCTAGAAGCCTTGGATGAGAAACGGCTGCAAGCGCAACAAAGCCTGGAGTGCTATCAAGCTCGCATGTCTAAAGCTTTTAACAAAAGGGTTAGGACCCGTTCCTTTCAAATTGGGGACAAAGTCCTAGCTGTTCGCAGGCCCATCATTGTCACGAGAAAAACTGGCCACAAGTTCACTTCAAGGTGGGATGGTCCCTACGTGATTTTGGAAGTTTACACAGGCGGGGCTTATAAGCTAATTAGTGAAGATGGTTTGAAGATCGGTCCGATTAATGGAAGGTTCCTAAAGCTTTACCACCCTTAAACTTGGGTGTCAACGCAAGTCATGAAGATGTGATGAATGGCTGATCCACCAAAAATGCAGCACGTGGATAAACTGCTAATGCATCTCGCTTTGTCTATGGGTGGGCTCAAATCATAGACGCTCCTGGCCCGCATGAGTCTAAACTGTGAACGGCTCTACTTTGTAAAAAAAAAAAAAAAAAAAAAATCATTTGAACTACGTTTGACTTGATCTCCGTGATAGGAGTACGTAGGCAGCTTAGAATCAAATTATCTAAGTTCAGTCATAACAAAATCAAATCCAATTTATGTTGCAAGAGTGGGTTATCTAAACAATCCTTCAACGGGTGAAAGAAAAGTTGTTTGAATTATCGCTAAAAGACCGGCACATAAATGAGGAGCATTCAATTATTAAAAGTTAGAAACGAAACACAAAAGTTCTTGCAATCAAAAGAGAAACTAAATGACAAAGAGTATTAGTCAATAAAAAAGCCTAAAGCTAAGCATATCGTCTTTGCACGCTTCTAAGCCTCTCTTTGCCTCCTTTAAGCTCGTTTCATCTTCTAGCGTCAGTACAGTCAGGTCCTTAATGCGGGTGACCTCTGCCCCAGCCTCCGAAACGGCAGTCTTAGCATTGCCCAGGTCATCTGTAATTTTGGCAATCGCAGTGTCGCATTCCTCTGCCTTGGCACGAACTAACTTCAGTTCTTTCTCCAATTCCTCTTCCCGATCTTTTGTGGCCTTAAGCATCTTATGTTGGCCCAATAGATCTTTCTTGAGTTTCTAAACTCGTCTTGTGCATTCTTAAGCGCATCCTTCGCCAGGGATAAAGACTGAGACTCGCTCGATGTTTTGTCAGAAATTGTGGACCTTAAGTTATCAAAGGCTTGAGCTTTCGTGAAAATGTCTGCAACCCGTGTTTCCAAGGGAGAGATATCAATGTCTAACTTTCGCAGATTTGCAAAAGCGTTCAAAAAGCTCTCTTGCAAAGATGAAATGTGTTCTACCGAGGTGTCGTCCAACTTTTTGCGAAGCTTGTTCCAGACATTTATGACAACCACCTTAAATTCTTCCAGTACGAAGTCTTTTCCATCAAAGACAGAGACCTCAGGTCTATCTTGCTGACCTACGCGTGGCTCGTCGAGGGAATTCCTCGACTGGTGCGTGTTTGATGCTGAGGCATTGTTTGAATGTCCACTTTCTCCAGTATTGCTGGCTGCCACCCTTTTATTTGATGACTCAGCCCCTCCACTAGCAGGTATCGCCACATTTTCCTGTCAAGAAGTAAAAGAGGGTAAATTAAGTGCTACCAGCAATCATTGGGATAAGCGAGAATAGTGATTTACCTCCACTGGGGAAGGCGAACGTCTGTCTCGTCGCCGTTTCCAGTGACGGTCATGGCTCTCCTCATCACCCGAGTCCGACCGTACCACATCGGCCCTGTTTTTCGAGATGATATGCTCCTTTCTCTTCTTGGGTGGTGGTTCATCTCCCTGGACTGGGTGTTTGCCCTTCTTGGCGGTGCCAGCCTCCTGCTGCACGTTGGCTGGATCCTCAGGAGCTAAACCCTTGATATTGCGCTCGAGGTAGTCCCCATGGACTTGGGCCCACCAATCTTTATAGCCCGGCGAGAAATACTTCTTCATAGTGACAGTAACTCGAGTCGCGGGAAATGTCACTCGCGACCCTAAACCCCTAAGTGTAGAGTGGCGCCAACGTTGGAAACCCTCCGAAAGCGTGACCTCACGTTCATCATTGCCCAGTATGCCAGAGCTGCCGTCTTGGTAGTAGCTGAACTGTCGGCTGAATCGATGAGGAGTGTAAGGCTCTGCGATACATGCATCCGCCCATCGCAATATGAGGTGGTTAGAACGAAGACACATGAGGTACTCGTGGTCGGTAGAGTGTGCGTCCCCATTATCGAGGAAGTGGAGATCCTTAGTTAGGTGGCGCGTCGTGCAGAGCCAATTGGCGCTGTCGGCTTTGAACATCTTACGACGAGCCTCTACTGGTCCATAATACCTCGCGCCAACCTCTCCAGAGTAGGCAATCATCAGCGGGGAAGCGGACGTTTGATCATTTGCGAAATGAGTGTCGAAGTAGAACGACAGCCATCCATACACATAGTGAATGGGAAAGTGACTATCAACTGACCCCGGCGTACTAGAGTGCGATATTACATTCAATCCATTGTAAATGCTCGCAAGTACGGGGATCCCAAGGTTCAGTGTTTTACCCGTCGCCATTAGACTAGCCATTTTGAATGTTTGGGCTCGAATGAGTCGCGTTGATTTGATGGAGAGCACGAATAAGCACAGCCAACAACTTAGGTATGCCGCTAAATGGGTCTCCTCCTCGTATTCGGAGGGAATTCCAAGCTCAGCAAAAGGCGCTTTGGTCGTTTTGGTCCAACCCCCGAATGCTGGGATCTTGCCACTTGGATTATGGGTGTTCCTCGGGCGAGTCTTCTTCTTATCCTCTTTCCTAGGCGGTGGCCTGTCATAAACTTGCGGTCTTCTGCTCCAGAATTCTATCCACTCAACAACGTGAACTGAACGACTTTTCTCCTGTTGCCCACGGCGACCACCTCGTTGCCTAATTCGGTTACCAAGGTGACAGTATGCTTGGAACAAATACTTACAACATTGAGGGCGGAGTTGATGTCTTCCCCTGTTAATTGCGAGGCAGTTGGAACATACTCATCGTAGATGTCGCTAGATATCGGTAGACCGCAAAGTACATGCATATCCCAAAGTGAGATTGAAAGCTCACCGAGGGATGTAAGCAAGGTATTTGTCATGGGGCACCACGCTTCGCAGAATGCTTGGACGATAGGCGTCGAGCGGTCATATGTGAATAAGGAGGCGTATACGCCGTCGTAGATCGTCACATCCTCTAGAAGTTTGCGATGCCGACTGAGTATAGCCTCAGTCCACTCCCAATACCCCTTTGTGAAGCTAAATTCACCTTTAAAGCTGGGGTGCTGATTCCATGAAGCCTCACCTTCAAGTATCCATCTCCCTAAAGTCGGGAGTGTGTCTGTGTAGTCCACATGACTTAAGCCAGTCTTCAGAACCCATGTTTTCGATGGCTGGGTGTCAGTGTCATGGGTCCAATTTTCCACTTTATATGGCGGTATCTGGGAAAGACGAGTTCTCGACGCCATTGGTGGGTAAACGATGAACGACATGCTATCTTTTCCAGTCTCGTCGCTTGATACTTTGAGCCTCCTCTTCTGATCGGCTCCCACAGTTTCCCAAAACACTACCATTGTTCAAAGATGGTTTGCGATGTATGAATCTGCATGAAAATCAAGAGGCCAAGTCCATAAGTAATAACAATTTGTAAAGCAAGGAAAAAGTTCTAAGTCTAAAATCGCCATGAAACTGTTCAAGGAAATTTTTCACGTGATGATATGTGCACAAGGCAACCCATATAATATATGTTATACGTATACACTTACTACGTACATATATTACATATTACATGCGTGTGTAGTGAGTACATATATTATATGGCAAAAGAAATATACCCACAATTTATGCAACAAGGATGTTATATATATAAATTATGCTACATGGTGTGTGTACATGTTATATATATTTATATGATACGCACAACATAAAAGTGCACTACATATTAATATATAATATATCATATATATATGTACACACACAGCATGCCTACCCTACATGCAACCAAATTATATATATATATATATATATATATATATATATATATTACGTAGTATATACATATATACACCCCCATCACAATATCACATGGACTAGCAGAGTAATATATATATATATATATATATATATATATATATATATATATATATATATATATATATATATATACACGCACGTACATTATGCATGCAACACAGAGACATGGGCCCAGGCATTAAATTATATATGTATACACCGATTTGTGTATGTTTAAGGACCATGTATGTGTACATATTATGTACATAGCTAGCAAAGTGAGAAGCAAGAGTTGTCAGTATTCACACGCCAAGCAGATGAAAGGTGAGCCTTGGGAAGGCAAAAAGATGAGCAATGGGACTCCTACTGTTTCCAAGGAAACCACATTAAATGGGTATCTTTCCCAGGGGAGCACATTATTCGGTTCCCAGAAGTTTTTTTTTTCAAAGCAGAGCTGCGTTTCTCTTGGTCAGGCGACGGTCACCCGGCGACGTAGCAACAACCGCAGCGTGGTCGAGCGTGAAATTGGATGGTGGTCCACGGCAGGACTCTTTCAAGATGTTCGTCGAGTGAGTGGCCATGGAGCTAAGTCCAAAGCTGGGAGAGATCTTCCCCGCGACGGTATCGCTATACTGTATGCGACGTCGGCGGCGGTTCGTAGGACGACGGCAACGTGCCGGAGCACGTGCCCGGAGAGTACCCAACGGCTTTCATCTCCGATGATGGTGGCCGGCATAATCGGCAGCGTGAACCCAAACAGTGGTGGAAGTCGGCAGATGCTTTCCCCTGAGGTGGCCCTATGACGCGTACTCCTTCTACGATGACGGTGACCGGCTGGGAGGTCCGAACAATGGCGCATGAGTCTGAAAAGATTAATTTTCAGAAGCTCCAGTCCAATGTTTTCCGGAGCAAGTGACCATGGAGTCAAATCCAATGGTGGAAGACAGCTTCTCCGACGATAGAGAACGTGCCGGAGCTACGTCTGTGGCGAGTTTTTATGGCAATAGTGCCTGTAGCAACAGGAGAGACGTGCCGGAGCAGGTGGCCATGGAATCAAGACCAAACAGTGGTGGAGGTCATTCCGAAAAAATTAATTTCCAGAAGTTTCAGACCACTGTTGGTGAAGATGGCGAGCCAAGCAAAGGTAGAAACAAGCCCGAAAAAAATTTAATTTTTGGATGTTTCTTGCCCAATGCCTCCATTCTTGATTTCTTTGTCCTCCCTCTTGTGGTGAAAGCTATATAAAAATTAAGATAGTACACAAAAAAAAAAAAAAAAAAAAAAGAAAGAATTTCGAAATTACCTTATCACT